TGATCTCCCCGCCTGAAGACCCACCACTGGATCCCCCACTGCACCATCCAGAGGCTGATCCTCCACTGCTGCCACCTCCAATTATGCTCTTTGATCCTGAAGACCCACCACTGGATCCTTCTCCTATGCCATAGCCGGATCCTCCGCTGCAGCATCCACAGGATCCCCCACTACCTCCGCCTGCAATGATGATCTTCCCTCCTGAAGATCCACCACTGGATCCCCCACTGCACCATCCAGAGGCTGATCCTCCACTGCTGCCACCTCCAATTATGCTCTTTGATCCTGAAGACCCACCACTGGATCCTTCTCCTATGCCATAGCCGGATCCTCCGCTGCAGCATCCACAGGATCCCCCACTACCTCCACCTGCAATGATGATCTTTCCTCCTGAAGATCCACCACTGGATCCCCCACTGCAGCATCCAGATGAGCCTCCTCCTCCACCACTGCCTGAGCTGATAATGATCTTCTGGCCTGATCCTCCACTGCTGCTGCTGTATCCTCCCACACTGTAGCCTGAGGAGCCCCCACTGCAGCAGGATCCACCTCCTCCACCGCCTGAGCTGATAATGATCTTGCCAGAGCCCCCGCTGTAGCTGCCTGAGCCAGAGCCCCCACAGCAGGAGGAACCCTGTGCCTGGCAAAAAAAAGCCCCCGGTGGCGGGGGGAGCCTCCACTGTGGCATCCGCTGGACTGGGATGATGTTTCATGGCAGCCTCCTGAGGTCTGTCTGGAGCACATCTTTGAGCAGCAACCCTGCAAGAAACAGTGCTGTCAGAAAGGAGCCCCTTAGAGATGTTGCTGAACCTTCATAGCAAACCAGAAATGGTTTGACAGCAGGAAAGACCTGCCATGGAAAGCACCCAGGGACTAGTCTGCAGATCACAAGCGTTACAGAAAAACTCTGCTTGCAGGAAGATTGAGAGCACTTCCAGAGATCTGCACGCATGCTCTGACATGCTCAGAGCCGGGAATCTAAAAACTTCAGCCCCATTGTTGATTCTTCTGGATTTATAGACTGCTGAAACTCACGGCAGCTGAAAATTCAGCTGTATTTGTGCATCCTTAGAATATCAGCTATGACTAAAACAAGCGTGGGCAGCAGGTTGAGGGAGGGCCTCTACTATGCTCTCGGGAGACCTCCCCTGCAGTGCTGCATTTAGCTCTGGGGTCCCCAACATCAGAAGGACATGGACCTGTTGGAGTGGATCCAGAGGAGGCCATGAAGATGATCCGAGGGCTGGAGCACCTCTGCTATGGAGACAGGCTGAGAGAGTTGGGGTTGTTCAGCCTGGAGAAGAGAAGGCTCTGGGGAGACCTTCCAGCACCTAAAGCGGCTACAAGAAAGCTGGAGAGGGGCTTCGGACACGGGCATGGAGTGACAGGACACAGGGTGATGGATTTAAACTGAAAGAGGGGAGAGTTGGATTAGATTTGAGGAAGAAATTCTTCCTTCTGAAGGTGGTGAGGCACTGGAGCAGGTTGCCCAGAGAAGCTGTGGCTGCCTCATCCCTGGAAGTGTTCAAGGCCAAGTTGGATGAGTCTTGGAGCAACCTGATCTAGTGGAAGGTGTCCCTGCCCATGGCAGGGGGGGTTGGAATGAGATGATCTTGAAGGTCCCTTCCAACCCAAACCATTCTATGATTCTATGATGATATCTCC